AATAAAGAAAAGTGGCAATCCCTAAGAGGTATCATATACAATCAGGAAATCCTATATTATAATCCCCTCAAGCCTTATACGCATATATCTTTCAGTCAGAAATAAATCAATAAATCACAAAAGCGCTATAAGCCAACTTTGCTTCTTATATATTATAAAAACTATCTTTTAAGAAATATATTATAAACACTTTGTATATCTATTATTACTAATATAACCACTTTGCTAATTATTAAAGCAAGCTTAATATTATAAATAAAGACAATTATAAAATCAATACTAACTCTTTTCGATAATACTCTGTAATACTAAGAGCTGATAACATTATATCTTATAGCTATTTATATAATTTGACTAGCAATATATCTTTCTAATCCTTTTCCAATATACAATATCAATATAATCAGCCTCTATAATCTTGGGAATATTCTATCCTTCTTATCAATTTTAAGCAATATAATTATTTTAGCAAGTTTCCATTGTTAGAGTAATAGTTAAGTCTAAAATAGGCCGCGAAAATCTCATATATTATACTCTTTATATTAGGCCAGCACACTTTGAGGAAGCAAACGATTATCCGATTAACTCCAGGTAACATATTCCTAACTCCTATTATATATTTTTCCATTTCCTTTGTAGTGATTGTTTTTTTTCCATAATAAAATCGTTTGATAGTCCTATTTCTATAAAGAGTTATGCTATAGATTATTTGATACTTTGAAGCAATCGAGTATTGTTATAAAGAGTACTTTGGCTTTTTCCCTAGTATTAGTAATCTTCTAGTCTTCGATTATTAGAAGAGAGATCTTGAGGCCTATTTCTAGAATCAGTTTATATTAATTTATAACTTTGTATAGTTTCTAATTGTTTTATATATCATTCAAGCACTTAATTCAATAGGCTTGTTTCAATATTCGCACAACCCTTTATAGATTCTGCTGGACAATTACTATTCTGTTAGTAGTTCCAGTTCTCCTGGCTTGTATATATATTCAGTATGTCTCCTTACACTCGTCGGTCCATTACGAGAATAATCAATAGGGTTTGCAGCCTTTCTGCCCTATAGCTATTATAGAGACACTCAATACGCTTGTGAGTCTAGCGATCAGTCTATCGATATTATAAATAAATCGAAAATCCGGATTCTGGAGGTTTACTAAATGATTAGTTATTATATTTGTCAGATAGAATAAATCTGAATTATATATCCAGATATGCATTTGTTTATATTTAGAGATTCCTTTATCCAAGATGATAGTAACTTGAGTAATATGGTTGAAACTGCTATATAGATTGTTATTGATTATTGTTATAATAATAATCAGATTGAAAAAGGTCAGGTCTAGAATGTGTCCCCTTGCATATATAGAGACATTAGGAGTTTTGATATACTTTATTCTCTATTCAGCAGCTTATTGTATAAGTATATCATTTTGATTGACAATTGCTATTCCAGGTTCCTATAGATTATACTTAATATTAAAATCATTTTCAATAACCATACCAATCCCTAAAGCGATCTTTAATCCAAATATGTATTCTATTATCAATAGATCAAGTAAAGTGTAATAGGTATTAAGAATCAAATACCTATTAATATTAATCCAAAATAGGTTTTTGTTTTCGATTTGCCTTATTTGTCTGATCTTCAAGTTGCCTTCTTTTTATATATAGATAATCATTTGTAGTTTATACTCAGGGCTATCAGCTACTCCCCAGGTGTTGATCGGCTGGTATCAGTTATATATAATATAATTTTGGGTTGCCGAATTATTGTATAATCGGGGTTTTTGGATATAAATGATATCCATATTAGTCTTTCCAGTAATCTGTAGGAGAGTAATATGATTAGAATATTTGCATTCCATATTCGCTTATGCGATTGTAAGCCCCTTTCCCCTTATTGAGTTTGTACTAATTGTGCGATTCATACAAGGATGATAACAGCTTTGTCAATATTTGATTCACTCCTCTTATTTATTTTAGAATCGAGAGATGAGAAGGCTTTTTTAATTATAATTATTACATTATAGTTTATTTCTTTGTTAATGTAATACAAAGGGTTATAGCCCGGAGTGTAAATCGAACTATTGAAAGGGCTCTCTCCTGATCAAGCTTGTTTGGGTAATCAGTCTACTAATTACTATTCGTTCTTATAAGCAGTAATACAAATTCTTGGTATAAAGGGTCTAGAAATAACCACTTGAAACTATTTAGCTAATATTAAAATAAATATCTTTTCCTTATATACTTTTTGAATCTCCCTTCAATCAGTAGTTCTGACTTCTTTCACTTATTGATAGGTAAACCTGATTAGTTTTCTATTAACTGATTATAATACTACAGAACAATTGCTATATATAAATCGGAAGGGTTCTAGATATCCTGTACATTAAGTATTGTTTTGGTATTACTTATAGATCTTTTCATTGATATATTTAATAATTAATTCACTACATCTAGAATAATAAACTAAGCGATAATATATATACAGGTTACAATATAGCTGGCACTCGTTAAAATGCTATTGTAATTAAGGGCATTATAATCTATCAAGAAGCTTCGAGTATTTACTGACATTAAATAGCCGGAATAGTTTTATTGTCTTTTTGAAACTAATAATCCAATTAGCTCTCTTTATAAAAGGGTTCACTCTGTATTTAAAGACTTTATATTATATTAATTTTTTTCTGTCTACATCTTGATCTCTTTTCGAATAATTATATTTGAAAATATTATAAATGTACTTAGCGTATTATAAGAGACCTAAAGTACAACATAATTATATCAAATCTTTACAGCTTGAGCATTATCTATATTAAGCATAATAATCAGCTGTATACAATTTTTGTTTTACAAAAGGTTTTTATATTCTTCTAGCGTTTTGTATTTTAGAATCTACCCTATCCTATTACAATAAAGCGAAGGGATCAATTCGAGCCTTAATCTAGGAATTGTTTTTATAATCTTTAGTTACAATTCGAAAGGATTATTAATAATTATTTATTATCCATTTCCTATCTTTATAAGAATTATACAGCTGTTTCGCTTTTGTTATTTGTACTTTTATATCATTTCTATTATTTTAGGTATACTCACCTTAACACTCTTCGATATCTAAAACGCCCCCTCAGTCTTGAATACATTAATATAAAATTTAGTAATTTCCTTTAAAGTTGTTTTTGTAATTAGTATAGGGGTTCTCTATATAAACCCGACTTATCTTATAGTCTTGATTATACTATCAATACATACAAACCTCAGCACATTGATATAGCTCAGTTCCATTTTGCTTAGGGTTTTAATACACATATCAATTGTATTTGCGATTTTTAGAGTTACTTATCGCTTTCTATTCTTTTTATAAAATTGATCAGTTATTATTTTATAGATAAACTATATATCATCATCTCTATTTGCTTTAATTATCGATATGATTATTATTATTGTTATTGAAGCGATTAAATCGCAATCTGATATGCTCAGTAGCACGATAGGTTACTTACGATTGTATATTGATAGTATCATAGTATTGTAAGATTCCTTCAATATGATTTGTTATGTTATTGTAATTGATTAAACTATATATTTTGATTTAGTTATTAATATTAATATGGAGTTTTGCTTTCGACTTATCCAGGTTAGATAGTTCTATAGATGTTTATAATTAAGTATAATACTGAGATTGAGGGCAACGAGGCAGCCGATCGCCTTGCTAATCAGGGCATAACTGGGCTGCTTGACTTTAGCCCATTCTGCCTTCCTATAATCAGCAGTTTCCGTTTTGTTCTATATATTAAATATTAATGCTTTGAGAGTAGATAATAAAAGGAAAAAAGAGGCTTGATTTTCGAAATATATAATATATAGAAATCAGTATATAATATCTTAAAGTCGAAAAGCTTTAAGCTTTTTTGCAGGGTATTATATAGACTTATAGCGATACGGACTGGATATAATGACTTTGTAGTTTATTATATCAGATTCAATTACAAAAATAGTACGAATATCTATATATATAGAATTGAGAAAAGTCTATTGTATTTCTTTTAATATTCAATTAATAATCAGATATGTAATGATTAATTGCTTATATTAAATCGATTTCAATTCGAATAGGATATGATAGTATATATTAATTGTATTTTGTGAATATAATATAGTTTTATTGATTTTCTTATTAGATCTAGATTTTATATTAGGATATATTCAAATTATGTGAAACTATGTGAATCCTAATTTGTTTTAATACTTCGAGAATGAGCTTTTTATTTTAATCAATCTAAGATCTATATTGATTAGCTATAAGTGCTCTAAGCACTCTCCCGATCGATAGTAATCGATCTGATTATCCGCCGATATTCGAATGGTATACGAAATAAGGCTCTCTGAAACAGAACCACAAACCCTTAGACAGAATAGCTGCAGGATTGCTATAAGTAATACTGAGTGGGGGAACATTGGAGATAACAAGCCTTTGATTAACTAACATTATACTACTATGAGCGGCTGGAACACCAGCAGCCTATAGGCCCGCTCTTTAGTATATCTAGAATACCCTTCGGGAGGTCAGATATTAGACGTTAATCACTATAAATAAATAAATAAATAAATATAATTAAGTATACTAATTGGATGCTATAGGGTTTGTATTTAGATAATTTTAAGTTCGTATTAAGCTCAACGAGCTTATAAGCTTTAGGCTTTATAATTTTGAATTGATCTCAAGCTTAATTGAGCCTAGGATACAGGCATTACTAGCCTATTCGGGTAGAGCGGAGATTAGCTTTTATAGATCCCGATCAAATCCGATGAATTATAGAGCCTTACAGTGTATATACCCTGAAAGAGCCTATAATCTCTTCCAAAATGAGCGCGACCTCTGTATTACTTCAATATTTAATATCCTTATGATTTTAATGATTTCCTCGAATATAGAAGAAAGGAATTACAATATACTCGTATTGTTAGTACTTTTCCATATTTTGAGACAGTGAGGCCTATATGCACGCGATGTGCGCTAGTTTATATCGCGTGCATATTCTCGGCATCGCAACGACACTACTAGTAGGCTTAGGCCAGCCACAACGAATTTGATCCTCGATGCTGAAAAGGTGAAGAGCAGTACTGAAATGGCGGTGGATATCAAAAAGAAATTTGCTTGGCAAAGGAAGATCTGTAGGATTTGTTGTAGATATTTCAAACCATTCTAGAGATCCAGAAAAGTGAAAGCCATTTCCAAAGAAGAGGTTTTTGAGTGGCTCGGGATACTTGTACGCCAATTTATACTAAGATCAAAATCAACATTTACAATAAAGTTATGTTCAAAATCATTCTACTCACCGTCTCCAATTGCAAAGCCCCGGTAACCACGTCTTCAGAATCATCGACACTCTTCCGCACTTCTATGTGACCAGCTCGAAAAGCCTTATGTACACTCGGTGAAAGTAACCAAAGATTACGCAAGACAATTGCATTATCTTGAATTTGACTAGAAAGCAATGCATTCAACCGATCCACATTAGGTGTAGAAATGAAAGCTTCAAGGATGCGAAGTAAGCGTCCCTATATCGAAAAATGAGAAATTATCTTACTACGCAAAATCATTTTTCACAAACTCACCTCTTCGGCGGACTCGATGTCTCGAAGAAATGAGGGTGGTATCACGTGAGCAGACTCAACCAGTGTCGACACCGGCCTTGTATTGCCCTCTCGAAACATTGACATGGTGCAATATGGCCCATCTCTTTCTCTAACCATAGCGTCAAGTGGCATAGAAATGGGCTCAACAACTGTTACTATTAGTTGTCAGCATAGTCCAAAGACTGGTCATCTTACTAACACCGGCTAGCCAACTTTCTCCAGTCTTTTTTGAATCGGCGTAAATTATCTTCCACATTATTCTTATCTTGATCAACTATTGACTGTATAAATTGTGCGGCAAAATTGGGCTCGACTGCTTCTTTGATTAAATGCTCCAGGAGTGCATGTTCAGTTGGTGACAGATCCGCGGCCGAGATTGCGTCATTGACGAAATCGATAGCAGCCATTACACAATACATATGCTCAATCCAAGTTGGAGAAACGGACCAACATGCAGCGTTGGTTTTGAAGGTGCTGACATTTTGTCAGGGTTAGAGGACGTTGATGTTGATATTGTCATATTCTTGATTGGCCAGTGCACAAACACCCTGCAAGCTGCGGCTCGCGTAAGGTAGGGTGACTAAGTACCTAGGCACTGCACTACGAGCATTGTCGGTCATAATTTATTAACGACGATGATCATTATTGCGTGCAATCAAGCAAAGTGATAAGTTATTGCTAGAATTAAATGACTATTCCGCACAAGCAAATTTCAACCAGTCACCCACAACATAGCTAGCCGCCTTCATAATTGCCTATCTCATGTCTTACTTAAATCTCCTTTCCCTTGCTGTCTTTCAGCCGATTGATTTTGCTAAAATCTTTGCGTACTCACTCTCCGAGCTTCAGTTCTAGTTTCCACATCCACCTTGCTCTCGCCCCTAACTGTATCTTTCGCGAAACGAATTCAGATATGGAATCGCAGACCCCCTTAATTTTGGAACGCGAAAATCTATACATCACACTGAACGGACTCGATAACGATGAGACTCATTTCCATTGGGGATTTTATCTGTGGAAAGATGTTGTTGCCAATCCAGATGATATTGGGAAATACTTTCATGTCACTGACAGAGATAGTCCGCACAAGTTTTCGTATGAAGATACACGCCACTCTGATATACGAGGAGCCATAAATTTGCGAGTAGCATTGAAGATTGCCATCATCAAGCCTGCACACTGGGATAGGCTAGGAGATTTATTGAGCTGGGTACCCATTCATGCATCAACCACTTGCCGTACTCAGGTTTTGGAAGCACTTAAAAATCTAGATGAAGAAGGGATTGTCAAGTTGAAGAATGATGGCATCAAAAGTATCGAACGAGAATGTCTGAAATATGCAAGAATTGGGGAAAGGATCATCAAGCAAAGCAATCACTGCAAATTCTGATTATCTATCTTCTGTTGATGAGGTGGTTGTAACAAGTAAAAGAGTCAGGGAAGATGAAGGTCCATCATCGAACGGAAAGGTATAAAGCCATCAGATAGTAGTTAAGAATGTCAAATCTATGAACTTTTGGAGATTTTTAAGAGCCTGAGTTAGCAAATCGATGTGGTATGATGAGATCTTTCGGATCATTGAAGTGGTTTGGTATAGCGACGCTTTCAGAATCTTGAGTCTACGGGGTAGACTATGAGTATTGGATGCTATTTTGTACCGACTACTGGAAAACACCTATGCATCATCAGTAACATTTTGTACACAATTTTCAGATAGAGTGAGAAGCTCTAAGAGTAAAAGTCGCCTCACATAGAATTCAAGAACCTATTGACCAAAACTGATTCGTGCCAATCTTCAATTCTTCCAGACTCAGGATTACTCAACTGTAAGAATATCCGCCCGTATTGTAAAATATCAGACCGGCTCTCAAAATCTCACAGGTAAGATATCCTGATTTTCAGCTTCCAAAAACGACTCATCAAATTTAACAACCAAAAGGTGTCACCCCCCACAACTTCACTTCGGCTTTCAATTCTCTCTCATACTTGTCACCAAATGCCCTCCTTACAAGTTCCATCTTATCCTTGTGCAACAAGATTTTATACATAGCCTTAGTAAACTCCCAATATTCTGGCAGAAATCCCGCGCATCTCCAATCTATAATCCCAGACAACTTTCCTTGGTCCACCAAGATATTCGACCAACCAAGATCTGAATATGTGAATACAGAACGATGATTTCTGGGCACATCTTTCTCCCGAGTGCTCTAGCAGGTGTAGAATTTATGTGACCAACGAGAAAATTGTTAAATTTGTTGAATCTATTGACCACGAACATGTGTCATCACGAGATAATTCTCATCTCCGTGTTCTAAAACGTCGACGAAACGTGGTGCAGGGATGGATGTATACTACTCAATGAGTTTGAGGGCGTTAGGTTCGTTGATTCCAGAACGTGTGGTTTGCTCAATGTAGAGTCTAAAAGGGGCCCGAGCAACCGATACTGCTCCTGTAGGTCCATATAGCCATCTCCCGAATCGTACCAAGTAGTGACAGCAATACACGTACTGTAGACGGTAAACACAGCCATAAGCTATAAAAAGTCGCCTAATTGGGGGAAAGGAAAAATCCGAGAGTAATCCTAGGCATCGATCCTTTAACCAACCTTTAGAAATCTTGTCAATAACAAAAAATTGATATAATGCAGTGGCGAATCGAGAATGGATTTCGAAGAGATGACAGCTCGGTAGTGGAAGGCGTTTCATATCAGGTGTGAATTTTTGCGTAAACAAGATGTTATATTCCCATTCCGTGCCATCTCCAAGGAAAAGACCGTACCAGTCTTTTGGGAAGAGCCTATACAGCCCGTACTATTTGAGACGTTTCAACACAGAACTCAATTTGTGGATATCATTGCTCAACATCTCCCTTTCTTCGACTCGCTTGACACCCCGGTAGGGTTTTAACTTCATTGCAACATGTCCCCTCTGGAAAGCTTTGTGCATACTCGAGGTGAGGAGCCGCAAATTTTTGAGATAGCTTTCGTCATTTTTCACTTGGTCTGAGAGGATGGTACGCAGCCGTGCCACATAAGACGGTGTCAGAAATGCCTCTAAGATTCGTAAAAGGCGACCCTGACGCATGTTAGTATGATGATATCTGATTCTTTCTAATCATGAGTGTAGTAATTGTAACTCACTTCGTTGGCCGATTCAATTCCGTCAAGCATGGTTGGAGGGATCACCTGCGCCGATTCGTGTATCTAGAACCAACTAATGCTCTGCGCACATATAATGGCACGCATCAGCTTGAAAAAAAGATACCTTACACAAGCAGATTTAGTACTGGTTTGTCCATCATCATTCACAATTCCATATGAAAACCATAACCCGCGCTATTCATTCCCCCATCGTACTTTACACGATCATCTAGCCTTAAATTCATATCTAACACCCACTGTTTCGTTGTCTTGTCCTGGAAATATCCGGAAGTAGTAGCACCCTCCGAAATTTGCAATTCGATATCAAAGGCCTCTATATTCCCCTCTCCAATCCAATGGAGAAATTTGCATAACATTGGGGATTATAACTTTGTACCAGGCCTGGTGCAGGAAGAACTTACCATATCAGTAATACTGAAACGGGGGTTTGGTGGATTCTGCATTTCAAGACAACTGTACGCTTAGTGGATCTATCACACTAGTGTACGTCATGAAGATTTCCGTGATCGATGATTACATGCAAGAGGCACTCGAAGAGAGAGTAACTCAAGTTCCTGAAGAGGATAACCAGTTCGGTACATTGACCTATCGCACATGGGTCTTAGAAGCATTATGGGCCCTCAACAAGGAGGGCCACATCAAACCTACCAACAAGATTCGAATGATCGTAGAGGAGGCCTTATGTTGGACCAATGAAAATGCACTTCGGGAGGACGTGACTATTGCCGCGAGGGCCTGGAGCCAAGCGTATAATACTTAGTCTCTTGAATGGATTGAATTCCGAGGTTAAAGCTGTGCGGGTGATCTTCAGTGTCGTATCTATCTGGTTATTAGTAGCCTTCGATGAATGCCTATGTGGCATCCCGAGTATGGCAAACTCCGTCGGATCCAGAATTTTATATATTTGGTAGGAACGGAAAGTTGCCCCATTACGAGTCGGAGTATAGATAGCGCGCCAGCCCGATTAACTTTAGGCACCGGTTGCTGTAGTTGCTCCCGTTAGCAGCCATCCCGTATTTACTAGTTTTAGTCTGACTGGCCGTTTACGTATAATCAGCTAAGATGAGAACAGCATCTCAACCAGTGACAGCCATGATAAAGTCAGTTCCACACTCGATTATACATATCGCGTGCACGCAAACATGAACATGAACACAGATTGAGGTGAAGGTGCACCTTCTTTGATATACAGGACGCCTTGGGGATATGTCATTGCATAAAATGGAAGACATCTTCTCTACGTGGAAGTCCTCGTGTTATTCACACAGGTTCGAACTAATCGTCAATAGAATTTAGATAGAAGCTATGATATGCACAAATCAAAACGAAGCAAACAGAAAGAATGAGAAAAATGAAAGTCGATGTTGTCTCCCGGCTAGGCATGGAGAACTCCGTTCAGTTTGCAGGCATATACGTCTGTAAATGCCACTTCCCACCCACCTGGTTTCTCGTTTGATAACAAGACCACTCGAAACAACCTATTTGCTGCAAAGCACTTCTTCTGTTCAGCCATTCAAGTAGGTACCAACATTTGGCTTAAATCAATCACCGGATATGCTGTCAGAACAAGCCGCCATCAAATGAACATCTCACCCTATGTGAGTTTCATTGGTCTGAGGGGTCGTGTGTAGTACAAATCTGAAGGCTGTGTAACGCCAAGAATTTTCCGTTTGCAGCGTTACGCGTTTGTGATTCCGCCATGTGCGCGATTAATTCGTTCAATGATCCAGCACCAATTGAAATTATTTGTGTCTCGCGGGCTTGCAAGTGCCGGGAACCTAACATGATGAATCGTAAAGCAATTCGGTGAGACTCTAGTCGACATTGAACACCTACTCCCACACTCTTCATTTTGCTCCAAAAAAGCAAGTCACTTATCTCTTGCCGAAATTTTCATGAGGCGGCCATAGTAGCTGGATAAATAAATAGAGCAATCCAGTCTGTGCCAACTAAAAACTAGTGGCCGAACCATATGAAGGTAAAACTTGGAACATAGAAATACCTATACTTAATTATCATCATGATAAAATCTAAGGAATTTCCCAAGAACTTTCTTTTCGGCAGCCGTGAAGATTATATCCTCAAAACACAACTTGAAAGCATATCTGCCGAGAGAGAAGGAAACGTGGAGTTCACCGCCCAGAATACTCAGTCGATGCATTCTACCTTAGCCCCGCCAAATACTCCTTGGTCCCCCAAGGACGCATCTCAAGATCACCAAGACTCACACAAGGGTCAAAAAACCCGTCCGAATCTTGAAGATGGACACCATTCCAGTATCAAGTCCCAATCTAAAATGGCTTCATCCTCGGACGAAAATTTTGAACACTGGAAAATGATCGCCATCAACTCCCAGAAAGAGAACCAGAACTTGAAGTCTCAGCTTATCGAAATCAAGGCTCAAAACAAAAATTTGATTGATGCACGGAACCGACGAGAAATCAGCAAAGGTTCAACTGAGACCATTTGGTACGCCCTTCTACAGCAAAATTGGCAACAAGTTCAACGAATCAAAGAGTTGGAGAAAGATGCAAGTTTTAGAAATATGGACGGGCAGCTTGAAGTACGACTAAGTTCCAAACAGATCGGTTCATTCATGGAAAGAATGAGATTGGCCCTGGAGTCCATGATGCACAAGAACGGTATCAGCCTACGCACCAATATGGATATTGTAGACACCAATACTGATCTCCAGCATCTTTTCCATCTTTTATATGGTGCCGAAACGAATTTGGGACTTGAGAAACTCATGAAGAATCTAGATCCACAGCTCTTACTTCGTGGTCTCTCATTGGCAGCGGTGAAGCAGTGGATTTTCATGACAGACTTTCCAGTATTCGAGGAAAATCGCTTGTCATTGGCGCAAATGAAAGTTATCTCACAAAAAGGTATATTGCGAAGTCCCCTTTGTTTCGTGCAGCATGCTAATCTTTCAATTCTTCAATCTTCAAGGCGACTGGAAATGTGCTCGCAAACTTGCGCTGGAGAGCTACATCAGTATAATACGGGATCCCTCTTTTTTGGAGAATGATTTACGCGAGGAGACACAGAATCTTGTGTCGAGATTTGCCAAGGCCATTGCTCCTCTTTGCAAGCCTCCGCATAATTCTGAAAAAATTCTCAGTAATATATGGGTCGATTCAGAAGGCACAGTTGGAACGTTGTTTATAACAGCCTTGACTTTCAAACCAGTACTGTTGCCACTGGGCAGCAGTATGAATTTGTTATATACCCACCAGGAACGGCAACAACTGAAGCTATGCCTGCTTTTGAAAGCCTTGTTGCATCCGAGCAGCCAGGAAAGGACTTGACTTGCGAAGTTTGGAGACATGCTTCTCTGTATGCTTATGAAATAGAGACTGCTTCAAAATTGAATGATCCTGCAGGTATGATGATCAAACCAAGCAATTTCATTGTCCATGAGGCAGAAGTGCGCGAGAAGAAATCCTGCCTCAAAAGTGAAGTAGTAATTTCAAAAGGTAAGACAACACTCAATTTAATGGAGAATCATGGACAGGGCTGACAATCGCTCAGACTTTGACGAGAGCCGTTGGGATGCCGATGAAGAAATCAATTTACGAGCAAAACCTGGACTCGGGAAAAGAGAAAAGGCCAAACAGAGGTGTAAAGGGCCATCAGATTAATGCAGATGTTGATAATACAGCAAATATTGGGAAATTCACCACGAAGAATGGATTGCAGCGGGGCATTGGGCCACCGATAATTGATCAAACAGGTAGATGTTCCCAGGAACCACTCAAGCAATGTGGTGGGACACCTAGAGAATCATCATCCTATTGCTCGACCTGCTTGAACTTGTACCCAGAAGCAGTCCTCGAAGAGCACCTAAAGAAAAGTAAGTTACCTTGTATTCGAACTAATAGAACTAATAGAATGCAGGACCTGTTTGGTGCCAAGCTCCTTGCTCTATATGCAGTGGGAAATATACCCGAAAGTCCGACATTGCTAAGCATAAACGACACCAAAAGAATCAAAGAGTCGATGCGGAATTGAGCGGTACCAAAAAATTGAAAACATCTCCCCTCGACTTTTTAGTAGAAGTCGCAAAAAAGAAATTGGATGCCGATCGGGTGACAACAGTTGCGAAAGCAGAATTACCACAAAATAATTCTGGTAAATCGAGACAAAGATCTAACAGGAGATCAACGCGGCTGAATGTCCAAGAAGGAAGAGCTCTTGGAGTTGAAGATAACATGCCTCCTGAAGTGATGAACGACAGTTCTCCTAAGGCGAATTGCAATGTTCCTCTTGAAGTGGAAGCTGAGGATCTCTGCGACACCTCTGCAGTCAACGAAACTGAAACAAGACCAGTGATACCGAAGTCTTCAAGTTGTGAAAAGTGTGGGGCGATTTTTACATCTAGTGAGGGCGTTACCAGACACCAAAGAATGAAAAGTATGGTAGAGCTACGTACTGTGTTGATCGATGAGCTAACAAACGACCTTAGTTTGTAAGGCGTGCCCTAAGTGTGGAAATTGGTTTGGCCGCAAGCAATTGCTCAGACATAATTGCAACCAACAAAAAAACACAAATCCAGACTGTGACAAATGGCCCTTGTTGAGCCCCATGGGCTTGGCGGGGATGAAATATCTGCTGCAACCACGCAAGCTAGTCCTAAATCGCCAGGTGATCCAGAAACGGAGAGCCTGAAAATATCAAATGACGATTGCCATGAGTTACAAGCGGATGCAGTCTGTAGTCAAACAAGCTCCCCTCTCTCCGAGTTTGAAAAGTCTCCTGTCCTTGCAATAACTCCGGTACAATATTCACCAAAGCGAACAAGGCTCTGTAGTGACCAAGATTCAGAGAAGCCACAGGCACAGAGGGATGGTTTTGGTACTGGAGAAACTGAAGAAATGCGGCCAATTAAATTACGTAAGTGAAATTAATTGTTGCGAAAACAATAGCTGACAACGTCAGGTCGATTGAATGTCATACAAGAAGCGGCTACAATGACAAATCTCCCAAGTTTCTCTGATCAGAAAACACTCGAATTCAATGGCCATCATGTACAGGCACCGATTCCTTCTCGATCTACCACTTTCGAGTTTGAGAAGTGGCAGACTGTTGCTCCCATAGAATCCAACGAGCGGGGATCGGGAACGGATTTTAAGGTTCTCAACTTTGACAACTCTGCAGGCCCTCGGAACGCCTGGGATTTGGAAAGCGATTATATTGCCTTCGATTCTCATCAGGATAGTTTCTTGGGCTCATTGGGAGATTGCCAAAATCCTTTCAGCATCCATCAGGACTTCCACAATGAAAATCTTGTGCCTTCCTCAAGGTCAGCAGTGTGTATGGACGGATCTCGATCTCTCAATTTTTCTGCCCAGCCCCTTGCTTATGAAGATCGTCATACCGCAGCGGGAAGACAGCCCCAAGGATCAACACACCTGGTGGCATGCCATGTGACAAGAGAGAGAGATTTCGGTAATTCCCAGCGAAAATCTAGTAACGCCATCGCCGATATTCTTAATGCCGACCTTTTGAATGCCGAAGGGATCAGCTATAATTATTAATAAGGGGCTTTCATATGTGTGCGAGCGAGGTTGTTGGCAAACAGTCAGTTTCTTGCTTTATTTGACGTGCGAACTGAGTTGAGTCCTATGTGTGTACGACCCAAAAATCCCCACTCCCTATTATGAGGAGTTGCGAGGAAAATGGTCAATGGAAAAGACGTTATTAAGCAAGCATTAATGAATGGCGATGGTCACAAATCTTTGTATGTCTAGTTGTATACCTACCTAGGTATCTATGCTTTTGTCTCCTGTAACAAGTCGCTTACCTAGCTGGTGACTTGAATTTCTGTTCTGAAGTATGACAAACAAGTACTGTATTCTGTCAGATAAGATTGAGACGAGAGTCTTATTGTTGTTGGGGCATCAACCTTCATACATCAGGTTGGTTTCGAAACGACTTGTGAAACTGCAACAAAGCCATATCAGGTCCAAAGGTGCGTAAGCAGTAAGCATAATGAAACAATAGAAGTGATGGATGAGATGCAAAAGTCTGAAGTATTGTAGATAGGAAAATTAAGCTTTTCGCTTCTGACAATGCTTAACTTAACGTGGCAAGGTTTGCATCTTGTTGATGTTTGTATGGTTCACGGAGAAGATAATCAGAGATCTGCACGCAGTCAGACATGAAGCATACTAGGTAGGTACTATGTCAGTAGATTGGATACCGGCATCCCTCCGTACCCAGGTAAGTACGAGATAACTTCATTCTTCATGTTGGTCAGGCCAAGTCTGGTTACATCCTCCGCATTGACGACCTCTCTTGCGCCCAAGTTCCAAACCCTGTCCGATAAGGTAACGCCGACATCTTTTGGAAAGACTCCATAATTCCATATCCAGATACCACACTCACATATGCAAGAATACTTAGAACACAATTGACACTTAATAATTGATATATTTCCTATGCTTCTTATTTGTTTTGAGTTCAAGAACAGAACGGGCAGTTCTTCGTATTGATTGATTTGTTCTCACTTCATTTGCCTACCGCGGTCAGACAAAACCAACACATATATACGGCTCCCGCGCCTACTTTTACATCTGCGGATCTGTACATCGCTCCTACCTCAGACACCATCTCACGCTTTATTTGGAAATTTGTTGCATACGACTGTTCCATCGCATACTGCCATTCTGGCGTTTGGAAAAATCGACAATCTCTCAGGACTATCTATAAGATCGATCACCATTCCTTCTGAAGTCTGCGAAAGGGAAATTACTAAACAAGTGGCCGTCTTATCGAATTACGATATCATCGTTCATGTACATGGGTTGCCAAAATTCAAGCGCATCACTTATCTTCCTCCAGGATCAAGGTTTTCTACTTCCTGCAACGACTTCCTGCATCGATTGAAGCGGCCCGCAGTTGCCACTACACGTCTTTGCCATTCATATCTCAGCCTAATAGGTATCAATCTTACGAATAGCTTATCTGCAAACTTAGAATTGGAGAAGCACAAGCTTTGCCGCAGGAGAAAATGGAGATTCCTCATTGTGAGATCTTTGCTTGAGGATCCTCAGAATCATGGCTAATATCGCTCAAGCAACTTTCACATTAGTCAAACCGGATCGGCGCGGTCGAACATTCCCGCAAGCTATTGCACATCGAGGGTACAAAGCTGCGAATCCAGAAAATACTATGGGCGCATTCAGAGGTGCTGTCGAGATAGGCGCGCATGCGATAGAAACCGATTTACACATCACAAAGGACGGGGTCTTGGTTATTTCACATGTGTGTTGTAACCTTCAGGATTACATTTCTCGGTGAGAACGATGGCTAACGCGCCTCTCAAGGATCCAAGCCTTAAGAGATGTTTTGGGAAAGACGCAAAGATTATAGATTGCGACTGGTCGTATATATCTACCCTTCGCACTGTCCAGGCCCCTCACGAAGCTATGCCTCGCCTTACCGATCTCTTAGAATACCTCACTACACCTGGGTTAGAAGATATATGGATATTATTAGATATTAAGGTACATTTGCCGCTATAACAGTGTTAGGAGAGATTTCGAGCTAACGAGAGTAAAAGCTGGATAATGATGCAGAGCAGTTAATGAGTTTAATCGCTTCATCGATTAGAGAGGTGAAGCCAACAAAACCTTGGAATCAGAGAGTTCTATTAGGCTGCTGGGCAGTAAGTCATTTCTTTCTTCTTACTCAAACCTTTCCTCATCAACTATCTTTCTGCGCATTTTTGAAGGGTTACTGACGGACATTCATGTAGGCCAAGTATGTTCCGCTGTGCGCTAAATACCTTCCCGATTTCCCCATAACGCACATTGGATTTTCAATAGGGTATGCGAGAGAGTTTTTATCCATACCTAATATAAATTTCAATATGCTGCGGCAGATTCTAGTCAGACCTGGCGGTTCTAAATTTATGGCCGATGCCAAAGCTGCAAAACGATCTATGTTGGTGTGGACTGTTAATGAAGAGCAATGGATGAGATGGTGTATCAAAAATAAGATAGATGGGGTTATCTCTGATGACCCCAAGAAGTATCTGGAAGTGTGTGAGAAATACGATTCTGCAGATTCGAAAGAGCCTGGCTTCGGGCTCAAAGATTGGGCATTGATTATATGGTTTAATTTATTGGCCATGCTATTTTCATGGCTATTCAGGTACAGATATGGCTTTAAAATAGACAAGAAAAAGGTTAAAGAAGGTTATGAGACATCGAAGCGCAATGCGGCATTGTCTTCGTGACACATCAACTCTAGAATATTTTGGAAATTAACAAGTACGCATGAGTTTTGCCGACTTTTCATCCCATAGGCTTAATATGATCCACCGTAGGAAGGTCGAAGCACATTGGTTATCAGAGTGAAAGTAGTGAAGAGATGGAGGAAATCTGTCGAATGACGATGGTGGGTTCGAGATATTCTGCCTGACGCCATTGGAAATACTAATTGTGATTCAATGTCAATAGCAGAAGTGTTCTCGTTCCTTCGTTTTGATCTATTGTTATTGGTCTCTTTACAGCAAATGACCCTTTACTCCTTGAATCACCAGTTTCCTAGATCCCAATCATCATTTCTTTTAGTAAAGAATCATACTCGCGTTGAATATATGTAATTTATCACTTGCAATATGTCTTCAGACTCTTCTTATTTAATCTACGCAAGAATCAGAAATGTGCAATACATACACGATAATTCTAAAGTGTAACCACAAACAAAACTACACTTACCGCTGCCCCTTGTATCTTAGTGCGCCACGACAAAGGTGCGTTAAAACCCCTCCAACTGTTGCTCATTACTTTGTGAACTGCCGCAAGTGCCGAGGCCAGGATAGTGACAACTTTGTGGTACACTGGGTGGAGAGGGAAAGCGAGTCTACTGGTAGTATTTTTGGCAGAAAGGAAGGGAACTGGAGAAAGGGTGAGGAGAACAACTATATGTTGGCCATAGGGACGTTTGAAATTGTGGCAAATGGAGATGAGACTGGCAGGGTGAGGGGTGTTAGGGTATATGAGAATGGAACGGAAGAGGCACGACGCGAGAAGAAAGAGCTGAAGAATGTTTCTCTAGATCTTTCTGGAACAAACAAGGCAAGCTTCGACGCTGAACCATCGCACGATATATATGATCAAACAAATGTAAGCACGCAAGAGCTCAAGCTTGACGGGCTGAGAACGCAAACTCTTCTAATAAAGGGCAAACCCAAGAAACCCAACGTATTTGGTAGTCTACGGAAAATGATCGTTCGGCCGAGGAGTGAGCAGGACACCGCGGCAACAGGTGAGCATAAATCGTCCACACAGGGTACTGTCAAAACAAAACTCAATAGGTTCAATACGATCACTGGCGGTTTCCGAGGAGGAAGGAAGAGCGAAGACATGGAAGAAGAGGGTTCTCTATCTGCATCGGTAGATGATCGGAAGGTTGATGATGCTACGGGGTACGAGTATCTTACGCCAAAAGAATTTCTCGACCTTCATTTTCAAGGTGTAGTTTCAGGCAGCAGTAGTACGGATGTTACGATATCAAATGCGATTTCTGCACCTATCGATATACCTCAAAAATGTCAAGGGGACACATCACAGAAACGGACTGCCGAGAAGCGTGCTGGAGAATATATGAGCGAAATCGGTCGAAATCCCTTTGCGGACAATTCAGCAGTTGTCGACTCTTTTATTAGGGATTCTGCAATCTCCGACGTCAAAAATAGCTACCAGGAAGGGACATCAGAGCGATCGAGTCATGGTACTCAGTCAAGTGGACAAGGAAGAATGAGCCGGGAAACCGAGTTCTCTCAAGCTGATGATGAACGAATGGAGATCATTACCGAGGCAATCGATGGAGATACAATTAATCTAACGCCGGACAATATCGATGACGTACTTGCAGTTTGGAAAGGAGGGTTTGGAACTTCAAACCATTCGTCACCTGATCACATACCTCCTCGGCCTCATGCTTTGAGTCATTCGGTACACTCTCGCAGTATTGAAGCCTTGCCGATGCCTATACCTTTTCGTTCTCAAGGCTCAAGTTTAGATGTCGCGGGCTATAGTGCGAGCTTACCAAATGTTCAGGAAGACGAGAAGAAATTTACCAAAACTCAGTGGACGCAGGAGAATGTTTTCGAGAAAGTATCTTCCGCGCCTTCTGCAACTTTGCAGCATGCCGTGGACTTTGTTAAACCGCCGAGGTGTTTTGATATGCAGCAGGAAAACAACACGACGAAAGAAAATCTTCGGGAATTTGCTTTGCCTAAGAGGAGCAATACGGGAGATGATTCACCACATTCTCAATGCCGCCAGGAAACCTCAAAAGAATTTCCTCCTCAGGTTTTTGCTTTACCCAAAAGGAGTAATACAGGAGATGTACCATATTCTCGACAACTCTTGGACAAGAGGGATGAACTTCCTCACAATTTTTCTTTTCCGAAAAGGAGTAACACAGAACATGTTCCACACTCTCGACATCCTCTGGCTAATGAAATCACCCGGAGCAACACCCTCGCCAGTAGTCCTCAGGCTCCAACAAGAAGCCAACCCGCATTACCAGATATACAAGAACCTGCACAAGAAACCATCGCTGGTACTCGATTACTCTTTTCTGCCCTCATCTTCTACAATTCTATCCCCACCTCGGAAAGGCAAACAAAGCGAGCAAGGTCGCCAATCACCTCGACTCTGGAATAGGAAGATACACCCATATCAAAGCCCGAAACTCGTACAAATCCACTGGTGCCAGAGAGAAAAATTGATAGAATTTCTACCATGACAACCATTTCACAATTTATACCTTCGCGAAACGAGGGGCTTGATGAAGAAACTACGACAAATGTTGTTTTCCCTCCTCAAAAATCATCCAAAGCACCTCGACGACGAATGGGTAGTTCAAATATGCAGCATCCTATTCAGAATCCTGTGATGTCTATTCCAGACGTCCCTGCAATTCCAAAAACTTACGCGAAACACGTAGCTGTTCTTCCTAAGATTGGTAGAGATGCAAGTGGCAGGTTTTCCGTAGAGCATATCAAAGAAGACAAGCCAGCACGCATGGGTAAGGAAGAACCAGGAGAAGTATCGAGGAAAGAACCGGTAGAAGATTCGATAGACATATACGCGAATTACACGATAGGGACTTGGGATGCTGTGTTGAGGAATAGTCCGGGTGAGGTGAGTCCTCTTAGTTCGTGTGAGGATTTGAATAGGATTGTGAGCGGAAAGGCTTGGGATGGGGAGGGCAGGGATGGATGTTTGAGTGGGGAGATGCGTGAAGAGAGTCCGGTTCTGTTGTCGCAGCTTATACATCCGTCTACAAGATCTCCCGCACGCATACCCGCCACAGTATCTACCTCTCAACATCTACCTCTTTCTCTCCTCACTCCCCCACAATCTCCACTATCCCTACAACGCACTCCCGAGTCAACCCTCTCAAACACAACCCCCCCCCCCATTTCTCCCCTCCACAGCGATCCCAGCATCCCCCTCATCCGACCTCTCCAAATCAGGAAAAAGATCCCACCTCCTGCATCAATGAAAATCGAAACGGACAATTTGCAAGAGATCGAGGCACGGAGGAGACAGAGAGAGCAGATGGAGGAAGAATTTAGGAGAGCGGATGAGAGATTGAGGAGATTGAGGGATGGGAGGGGAGGGTTGTGAGGGGGTTTGTGTTCGGAACTGGGAATTGGGAGGGAGGGAGATGGGAGTTCTAGGGGAGAGCGATGGATGGAGTAGAGATGTATTAGGATGAGGCGTGCGAGATGATATGTGTGGAGAGCAGGGCATGATATTTTGGTCTTGGAGAAATGTGTACGGGAGTAGATATTAGATAATGGCAGTTTGAGAGTAGATTGGATTGGATCGGATCAGATTGGAATTTGAATTGGAATTGGATATTGGGAATGATGGTTTGGTATACATGCTCTGGATTTAGGATATCAGAATACGGTGTTGTGAAGCTATGCAAGGTTATGGATGCATGAATGGAAGGATGGATAGTATACTGCTATTGCTACTGCTACTGCTACTGATTTACTAGCTGGCGCTGGCTGGAGTGGAAGTTGTGTTGGTTGGTTAATTTTATAATTGGAATGTGAATTACTCGAGTTTGAGTTTTTTGTGTTTTTGCGGTATAGATCTGGGGATGTGAAATGAAGTGAAGTGACATGTACGAGGTTCTGTTTAAGGGGTTAGGAGAGAGAATTGTGGTACTATCTATGGGTTTGGTGCTGGGTAGATGGATGAGTAGACAAGTGGATGGATACATCAGTGAATACATGCATACAAATCAAGTTCTTGGAGTAGGAATTTACTTCTGGATGCCATGTAATTTGTTGCAATTACTTCTTAAATACAAACTATCGTACGGAGATTTTCCTATCATCATCAATTATTTACACTTCCCGAATGTTTACAAGTAGATCTGGCTGCACGTACCGACTTCCACGTTCGATGTGTACTGAAATGATATATAGAACATGCTTATCCATCATCTCAATTCGAGTACTTTCGAATCTTGATTCTCAACCCGTAGGAGCGAGCCTGCTGAGGAAAGACACAAAGACACATGAGCCAGAAGCACACAGTCGCGATTTTCAATACTATGAATCCCGCCTTGGAAGTTGACAAAGAGTCCATGTCACTGACACCAGTCCTGTGATAGCCCATGGTTTCCTAGTCCCTCTAGATCCATGAAATAAACGTATCTAAAGAAGCAATAGTAGTACGCCACAGCTGCTTGCGCTGAGAGGCGGAAAAGATGTACTCAGCTACCTTCCCATGCAAATCAAATGTATCAAACCTTCTCGCCACCCGTCCACACCATCCTTACCTAGACAGACACATGCCACAAACTTGCGATTGACACTTCATCAAATCCCAAACCAAATTCAATATTCAACATCCGACATTCAGCACTTGACACTTGCAAGTCATTGAGGAAAGTGAAACATCATAAATCAAGAACGCCTTTGAAGAATCAATAATTCCGCGGAGTGGACGAGAATATCCTCCAACATGACGATAACCTATCCGCAAACGAATCTCAGGTAGGTGGAGTGAGCACTTCTCCCCGATCCCCTCGCTACATTTCGATTTGAGCGAGCATTTCCCCCCAATCAATTGCATTTTTCGAACGGGAGAATCCTTGCGAGGTCTTTGGGGGATGTCTTAGGCAAAAGTAGCGGGTGAGGAGTTGGGTATACATGCGGTGTACTATTCCTGATTCCTTGTGGAGAATCGTACGAGGAACGAACTGCACGAGGATAGGAAAGAAAAGGAGTCACCGTCTATTAGGCGTGCTGAGAATTGAGTTTTCGTGGTCTCCATTGTCGTCGTCAAAGCGTTCAGCTTCGAATAAAAGATCGATTTGCGAGACGACAGCTGAGATCCATGCTAAGTTTTCAACAACACATCAATATTGGAGCACTAACATCCATTCAGATGTAATAATGTCAAGGGTAAAGAAAGTGTATAGACCAGAAATTCACGTCCTGTCGTTTCATCGTCCATTTTCTTCGAAGTGTGATTATATTCTTCTCATTGCAGGTTTAGCGGCGTCTGCTAGGTGGCATTTTGCATATGAGGTGTGTGAATAGAGCGAATAGAGAGAGAATTATAAGCCATGCAGAGCAGTTAAAAAGAGGGGAGCGTAGTTGATCTCCCATACCTATTTAGGTTGATTGTCGTTTTCCTTTCAGGTAGCGGGGAAGAAGTAGTCTGTGCGCATATTGAATGTCCCACTTGAACACTAATCGTAGCTAATGATGATCGAGAACAGATGTAATCAAGCCTTCTTGTAAACAGTGCGATTGTAACTACGATTTGAGTAATCCGGATGGTCTAGAAAGCTTAATTAGAAAGACTGCACGTACCCATGAGCAAAGGAAGGGTCCGCATACTATACGACGTATAACTAGATGGGTTGGTTTGTAGGTAGGTAGGCTCGAGGTAGGTATGTATTCAAAAGCTGTGACCATCAATATTTCACGCCGACTATTAGTAAGCCCCTGAATATCGAAATATTATTTTGTACGTATTTTGTAATAGACGAGATATATGAAATGCTACCTACCTACCTATATCAAGGAATATTCGATTATTAAAAACAATTTTGTGCTTAATAAATATATCAATTTATTACATGAAATATTTGATTTGAATCCTCAATTGTAACTTTGAGTGTAGGCTGCGAGCCGCGATGTACTCTTAGTGAACTGAGCTCCAATTCTCAGCCCCTGAATTATTCCACATTTTGTACCCCGGTGACCTACGGATCTCCATTGATACACATTCCACCAGATCCGAAGAATCTGAAGAATCTGAATCTGTGAAACTGGATAACATTACTTCCGAACAATTATTCCTAGCAAACATTATCGCCATCGAACTCTTTGAAGCAATCGACCCCTAGCGATCTCTAGCGGAAGCTGAACAATGTCCGTCGATCGACATGGTGTCTCGGCAGTAAAGTACCACTAGCAGCAGATCCTTTCTCCACCTTTCGGGACCCTAATCACACTTTATCTGAATACATATGCAACTAGAAAATACGCTCGTGACTCAGAATTCACGCGGCTGATCTGCACTCGCGAGGAACAAGATTTTTTCTATTGATCGGTGTACAAGATATGCAAGGAAAGATCATCGAAGGATGGAAGAAGTATTTGTTGAAAGTTTTCAGCCACGCAGCCACGGAATAATTATGAGACCATTCGGAGTGTTTATGTTTTTTATGTCCTGCACACAGTGTCATCGAAACATGGCGGGACACTACCTTTACATGGCATAGTCAATGTCTCAAAATAAATGTTCTTTGAAGTCGCAATTTATGGCGGCAAGCTCGTCAAAGAGGAGTGGATTTTTGGATTAAGGGTGGAAGGAAGCAAGGAGAAGACGGAAGGAAAATTGTAAAGGCTAGACATCTTGAAACTATTTACAATCCGGAAACTTCCAGACTTGAGCAAGATTAAACGACATGATAGTTCTTTTTGATTGAGTTCAGCCTTTCGCTGTTCGTCCACGCGTCTAACGGCTTGAACAACGGCTTGCGGGCAAGACATAAAGAGGGACGATAAGAAAGCATACTTTCGAAACTGTTGTCAACGTTCTCTTGACTTGAGACACGGGCCCGAAAGAATCATGCAGGCGGATAAGGAACAACATGATACATTCCTGACATCGTGTCGTCGAGCGCTTAATAGCGAGACATTCGTAAGCCAGCCTCGGCAAAACTTCTTGTAATCACATGAAATTGGCATACGGACTTTTCATATGAACAACAAGAGCCAATCTTTGTACAAATCTGATGAACTCAAGCCCTCTGTTCCAAGCGACAGACGGTCCGTCACGAGCTTCCTTGCTTTAATCATTTCCTTGAGGAGAAAAAGAAAACATACCGCACGGTGGCGTTGCCACGATGATTCTTTCATACGCCACAAAACGTGAAGACTCACGTACGCCACCCTTGTATTTCCCTCAACGTCGTGTTCAAAACACACGTTTATATGCATCTAATAGTTTGAAGGCTGACCGAACCATTCTCGTCCGCACACATCACTTGACATTGCTAAAAATAGAATTTCTTTTGTAGACGTCTGCTACCGGTGAAGCTCCTATATTGGGACGAGAATGCAGATGAAACAATTACGTATCTGCCTATATCACACACCTTAAACTTAAAATCATTCAGAACGAATGATAAGCTACTAGGTAGGTATGCAAGTTGATAGCAATTGAAAGACTCGCGATTATTTTTCACTGAATCGTGTCGCAATTTATTGGAAGCTGGCAGGAAAAGAAAAAGCGATTACAAGTGAAGATCCAAGAAGCAAATACGATGACCAGCTAGGTAACTTGGCCTTTTGGTGCCACGTGAGGTTTTTTTCTCCTTACTGTGGAGGTTGAACCTTCCGCATTCTACAATCGTGCCGGACTTGATGTAATGAGAACCAGTAAGGTGATACAGTATGTCATTGTATCCCTCACAAATCTAGGCACATAATTGCGGAAGTACAAAAGTCCGGTTTATATAAGATGAGATGGTAAGATGACAGGAAATCTTTGAGATCTTAATCTGTTAGATACCCGTTCACCCACACCTGCAGATGCAAGCGCGAGACAATCTTCCGCAAAGGTAATCTTTCACATTTTTAGTACAACGATGCAATCGGGTGATGATACACTATGAGTGGTAAAAAGGCCTTCAGATGATATCTTGGTAAGCTAGTCAGGTAACATGCAATATCCCAACCATGATCATATCAATGGATGGAGGCTGGGATATCTATCAGAAAGTAAGCACATATACTTGATTTTTTGTGATCTTCATAGATGGATTTTCATCTTGACATCAATAAACATGGGGAATCTAGTCGAACCCCTGGTCAAACTGCGGAATGATCCATTCAGATATGAAGATCGATATTTCAATATTCATTGTAGGCTTCGCCCAATGCCATCCTATTATCCTCTTGTGCTGTTGTGTTATTGTGCTGCAGTGCATATGTTAGGGTTCTTTGAGGCTGGTAGTTTGTTGGAAAGCGGAACTAAAGGTGGGATTGGGGATTGGACCACTGTACGAGCCAAACTCAGATCGGTGAGCAGAACCCCGCAGGTTGTAAGCATCTATTCATTATCTCAAGCCTACTCTTTATGCGCTT